CAGCCAAGGGAAACTGAGGCCGGAGAGGTGGAGGGGCTGTCCAAGGTGACCGACGGGACACCGCTGAGCGTCGGCGCCCCTCCAGCCCGAGGCACCAGGGTGGGGCTGAACTCTAGGCGTGGACACGCCGCGGGGCGGGTGGAGGTTCTCGCCGGGCGCCAGTGCCACGCTGGCGAGCCCCTCCTGCCTTCTCGATGAGCCCGGCTCTGCCGCTCTGTGCGATAAGCCGGTCTAGACCCGGGACCCGGGACCGGGTGCTCTTGAGTCTCAGAAGTGCGTGGGGTGGGAGGCGGCCCGGGAAGGACCTTGTCCCTGGAACCCCAGGATGCAAAATAAGCAGAAGGGGAAGGCGAGCTGGGAGGACAAGGAAACAGGTGGCGAGAGGTGCCAGGGCGGTGTGGCGGGCGGGGGAACGAGGAGGGTGAAGGGCAACGCGGACGGGCTCGGGGAGGCGCCGCCAGCTCCGACCCCACAACCCCACCCCTCTCCAGCAACCCGAGAGCCATGCCCGCCCCCTACTCCATGCGCTGGGGGGTGAGGGACTGACTTTGTGCCCACGTAAGGCACTGGGACTCTGCCAGCGCAGGGGGAGGTCGCGGCCCGGCGGCCAATGGCGAGGAGTAGGAGAGCGCCCTGCAAAGCCGCTTTGTTCGCGCCATGACGCCCGAGCTCCCCGCGCGGAATGCACAAACCCCCTGGGTGCCGGCACATCAGGGCGCCCCTCCTTGGGAACGCAATGTGTGCTATGCCCGCCCCACTGCCTGCCCTCCACTGCCAGCTGCGCCTGCCACTGTGCTATTTGTGGCAGCCGGCGCCCAGGAGGACCCACTCCGGAAAGGAAACACAAATCTCATTAGGCAGGGGAACTGGAGACCAGGCGGGAACTGGCCCTTTCACAAACTTCTCTTAAACTCACCCTAGTTGATTAGCCAAGCACCTGTGGTGAACTTTGTCCCACCCTCCAGACACCCATATATCCTTTCCACTGGCACACCGCAACCTCACCTTCTCTTGCACATGCTAGCCAGCAATAGCTAAGATCTATGTTATGTTTCAGAGTTTACAGGGTGATCCGTACACGTAATATCCTGGATATCTCGCGGGGGGGTGCAGGCAGCCACATCCACGCTTGTCATCCTGCTGTGTTTGGTGAGGGAAGCTGACCCTCCGCAGCCCACGCAGAGCTCAGGGGCTATATCCTCATGAGGACCTCTGGGCTCAAAGATATTACCTGGCGTCCCCATATCCCAGGCTCTCAAGGACCAGGGTCCACACAGGTGTGTTGGCTTCTTTTCCCAGATGCACCACCCAGGTCAACCAGGTGTTGAAAGACCTGGTGAACCTTCTCATGAACAAGGACAAAGGCCGTGTGGGGGTCTGTAGAGTGGTCATGTACACTCAGCAGACACAGAAAAGTGATATTATTGGGTTTTCGGGGCTCCCAAGGTTTTAGGGAGAGAAAACTTGTTTTTCATCCATGTGTCCCAGAAATAAGCATTTTCAATCAAATGCTGTCAGCCAGTGTCCCGCAGGCGTTCCGAGGGTAGAAGCAAGTTCAGGACTCTTCTCTTGGGAGTATCCTGGCCAGAAACAGCCCCGCATCCACTGCCTCCCAGGGGTGGTAGGTTTCTTTTGGGAAACCACGCTCAGATGAGAGAGATGAAGCAATTTTCTGTTGGCCTCGAAGACCTTGTCACACACCCAGCATGGGAGCAACTGTCACAAAGGGCACACCGCCACCCCCACTCCCAGCTCCAGAAAGTCTCTCTTTACCTTCTTCAGTGCTGATGAAATGAGGAACAGAAACACCGCTGGCGCAGGGACTGAGTAGAAATCTGTAACTTTGAGGACAAATCAGTGCTCTTGAAAATGTCTCTGAGACCACCTGAGTTTCCTCTCTGGAGCCTTAGTGACTGCTGGGAGCATCTGGTGCGTGAGGATCTTAGTTCATAGCTACCATTTATGTGGTGACAATGCCATCTCAGGTTCCGTTTTGCATTTTCTGATCCGGAAGATGTTCTGAGGCTAATTATTACTGTGCCCACATTACCAGATGGAGACTGAGGCACAGAGAAGCCCCGTCTGCACTGGGTCCCCCAGGCCAGTGGCAGGGCGCAGGACGGAAGGCAGGTCTGTAGAGCCCGTATGTGCCCTGCTGAGCCGCTCACTCTTGCAAGTGCTGGCCTGTCAGCCAGCCAGAGAAGCCGAAGCCCTCCCACAGCCTCAGGGAAAGAATTGGGAAGCTGGGAATTCAGAGAGGAAAGGGTTGCTGGAGGAGGCAACCTGGAGTGATAGGGCTTGGCCGCTCAGTACTGGGCAGCAGGTAGACCCTGAGTGCTGGGAGCAGGTGATGACAGCCATTTGTGTTCAGGCACCCAAGTGCTTTCCCTGACACTGCCAGGGTGAAGCTTCTCCTATGGGCCTGGGGTCCAGACTGGAGTCTGTTTGCCATCCAGGGCCTGCGAAGTTTGCTGCTGGCTTGCCCTCTGCTGATGTGCACAGCTCTCTGTCAAGGGGGAGTGTATGCTTCCAGGGCATCATCCACCAGGGCAGTGGCCTCTGAGCTCCTGGAAGCGTGCCTGCAGGGTCAGGTGCTGGAAGTCCACCGGGGCAGGGGCCGTGGGCTGAGAAAGGGAGGGTTCACTGGCAGCGAGCAGGGAGCTGCTTGGCGACCTGAGGCTGGATCTTGTCGGTAAGGGCGAACTATGGGCATGTCCTTGGTTGCCATCCTGGTATTGACAGCAAAACCCCATGGGTCCAAGGTAACGAAGTATTGTCACACTAGGGGACAGAATCTATGAGTCCCACAAGGCAGCTGTGATTATGCCCATCTTACAGATGAGGAGCAAAGGGCCAGGAATGGCAGCATGTGGCCAAGGTCCCCAACAGGGAGTGAGAACTCTCCCGAGTACCAGTCCATCAGCACCCGGCCCTGGGTACCCCCGGGGTTCGGTTGTCTGTTGCAGAAGCTGTCTGTGGGCTGATACGACAGCCTCTGGCAGACTCAGGAGCCTGGGGCCAAGGATGGGATTTCACTGGTGGCTGGTCCTGGCCCCACAGCTCCAGGGGGGTGGCAGCAGCATGTGCAGAAGCCTGTGGCAGGAGAGAGGGGATACATTCACAGGGAGAGGGTGTGGAGATGGCACAAGGCGGGCAGAGCTGGGCAAGGCCCTGGTCAGGCAGGTCTTGCAGCCCAGTGGGAAGTTTGACTTTGGTCCTAAGGGCTGCAGGACACCTGCGATGGAGGGTTGTCAGCAGAGGC